GCTTTTCAGACCGATGAGCTTTGTAAAAATCGACGCGTTTCAGAAAGGCGAGGCATAGAGGAGAAACAATAATGTACAGTATGTGGAAAATAATGTGTTTTTTGAACCTTAAACCACATAAACACATTTCATTACACCAAATACATCTTTTTAGCAACATCATATGACCCCTTTAAAAGTGAATGTTTATTAGTTGTGTTGATTAATCTTTTGGGGTGCCGTGTTCTTGTAACGTCATGCATTCTCAGCTCTGTGAAAATGTGCAGATTTCCACACAAGTTGTATTCCAAATTGGAAGTCCACAATCAAAGGACATTCACTGCATCCTAGTATGCCTACTTGCATACTGTATAGTAGGCGGAAAACAGAATGTAAGCCCGAATTCATGCAGTAGTATTCATAAAACAGTAGACAAAAGCACCTGGGATGATTTACTACTTCAGGTGAGATGCATCTGATGGACACTTTACTATCCCATGAGGCCACAGGAGAGGATATGTGAATGACAGTGAATCGACCAACTGACGCCGTAGGTCACATGAGAGTAACAGCATGATAGATGTAGTAGTAATTTCATTCATACTACACACTGTCACGAAGCAAATTTCTAACCAAATATAATACTTACTGTACAGTATTCACTTTCAGATGCAGCGATTGTATTGTGGCTTTTCTTACGTTGATTTGAAATGCAGCATCAAAAAATAAAAGAATTTAATAAATGTTAATTGTATTTTTTGTATTTAAATAAACACGAAAGAAGGTTTCTTTATTTATTGAAGTCATTGTAGTCTCGCGTAGCCAGACCTTCAGACTGACGGCAGAAGGTCTGGGAACCTTGGCCACTTTGAATGGCCAAGGACCCCCCAAGAGGCCATATGACTGACAGGTAAAGCAACCAGTCACGTTTCGTTTTGTGCCGCGTCATTTTTGGGGGCGAGGAAATGTCCCCACAATAACAGACCAGTGTGTAAAACTCGAACTTTACATATTTGCATTGCATCCTGATAAGCGCTCATTGTCACAGTTGTAAACACGATGGCTTTCTTCTTCCATGAGGTTTGGCATCACAGCATCTTTGTTTCCAGGAGGAATGTTAAAGAAAGTGACACACGTCTCCCGAAAATCCTGTATAATTCAGATCAGATTACGACTTCGAAACTCCTGAAGTGTTTCCAATTTGGTGTGCCGTATGCATCAGACGTTCAGCCAACGGTCCATGGGCGTGATGTCTGAGGCTTAGACTGAAGTCATTGTAATATTTGCATGCATTGCATTACATTTGGTCTTTACTGGCATACTGCTTGATACTCAGATTAAAATATCTTGTCACTAGCTATGTTTTCGTCCAAAGTTGTGGATTAAATCAGTGCTAAAAACTGGAATATTGCTTGAAACATTTTCGAATAAAACAACGTTTCCATCCCAAGTGTTCGAAAGAACAAAATCCGCACTTCAAGGGAAACTGGCGCAAAGTACAAGTAATAAAACGTTGCTGCAATTGGGAAAGCCTGTTAGCTCATGAAACGCACAAACACACATTGTCATGTTATCTTGCTTTCAGAAGCGAATGCATAATATTTGGGAATGCAATTGTGTGAGAAATTTCTGGGAGGTAATTATACCAAATAATTTTGATGACTTCAGCTAAGGCATTTCATAATGACTTGGACAATATTTTAGACGGTGTGCAATGAGATTGGTCCACTGGTTAGTTGATTTATCCGGTCAAATGATCTGTTGAGGCAAAATCATGTTTCTGGTTGTGCATCCAGGAATTTATTCAGGAAATGTGTTTCCATCATAGTTTACTCACATTTTCCTGCCAAATAAAAAAAAAGAATTCTGCCTCAGTTGAGTGCATACATTTTTTTTTATGTGCATTTTAATATTTATGCACATCTTGCCATTTTCATCCAGTGTTTTTTATGCAATATTCCAAAATTTGCATAAAAGTAAGTGGATGGAAATGACAAACAGACCACAATCTCCTTTAAATACAACTGATGGCTAAACTCCCTAACAAAGTGATTAGTGTTGTAGTCCATCTCCATGTTGGCACGGGCTGTGCCTCTGCTCAGGGAGCTTCACAGCGGTGTTGAGTGAACATTAGCCCTGACCGGGGCAGGTTCTGCTTGAGTGGCTTTACTCATGGCCTGTCTGACCACTGGAGTGGAAGAGAAGATCTCCTGCAGGGTTCAACTGTCATTCATAAAACTACCAACCACTGCACTACTACAGATTCCCAGACACATTTTTAATGAATGAGGTGTGTTTTTTGATGTATCAGTGACGTTTGCCAGACTTTAGATGGCTTTCGTTATATAAGAGAACCTTGAAAATTTTTGAAGGTGCATGCATGTTTTTTTTCCACTCTCATTATTTGGTATAAAGAATAGCTCTTCTGATTAATGTATGAAGGAATAGTTCACCCAAAAATGACAAATTGGTCATTATTTTATTGTACAACAAATATATTGCCTATAAGTTGGCTGTCAGTGACATCAAATCTCATTTGTTCTTGATAATGAGCTGATGCTTCACATGATCTAGCTGCTATATGTTTGATATGACAGTTTCAAAATTATACAAAATTATAATACGACCCAAGATTTGCTACGGTTATTGTTCAATAATTGTATAGTGGGTTGATTTTTGGAGTTTCAAGAATGAAGCAACTTGCTGCAGTGGCAATATCTTTACATTTTTGGTGCCCCATTTATTTTTTGTGCATTTAGTGAGTGAAATATTTTTGCACCTTATATGTAAGGAATGATTTAAGACTTGTTTGCTATTTTTACTGTTCTGTTTTCTGTGTATAGCAGTAAATATAGGCTTGATGTAGATCCAGTATTGAGCATCAAAAACAGCGTCTGGATGTATTTAGTGACTTTTTATATAGCAAATTTGTTACACTCTTTTTTAAAGTAGATTCTAATGCAGTTTGCTGTTTCGCATCTGAGTTTAGATCAGTCACTTTAACAGCCAAATAAACTAAACTCTGCTGTCAGTTGGACTCAAATCCACACCAAAAGCTCTAATGTGAAAGTGTCTTGACTCTTGAGCCTCACACACTGATATTTAGTCTGCTCTCATGCCCGTGCCAGTATCTGCCACTCAAGATCACGACCTGAGCTATTGAGTTTAGGAAAGTGGATTAACAAGACAGTCATTAAGATTTAGTGATCTCTGCCTGCGCAATGACATCAAAAGCTGTAGTCTGTCGACATACTGAGAATGGATTGAGTAGGTTGAGTACAGTAAGATTGTGTGGTTTAAAATCATTTTGATTGTACTGTTTGTTCATGGCTGACATTATATTATGGTAGAAATGATATAAAATGCTGAAAATTGATATTTGAACATTTGAACCATTTGAAGATGTACTTCATCCAAATGAAACAACATTTGCAACCCATTATACTGTTGTAATATGAGTGAAATGCTTTTCATTTTAGAGGAGTGTTAATTTAGTATGTTTGAGATATTATTATAGTGTTTTTTTTTTGGTTAAAGTTCTAGTAATTTAATTATTTTTATTAGTTTTTAAAATGTCTACATAGTTTATTACTTTTATTTTATTTATTTAGTTGTTATTATCAAGTTAAACTAAATTACAATTAGAAATGTTTCCTTCACAACTGGCTGAAATAAAGTTTTTATGTTTATAATTAAAATATTTTTATTTTATTTTATTTAACATTTATTTCAAGTAACTATTTATTTATTTATTTATTTTTATTTACTTATTAATCATAGTTAACTATTATAACACTGTTAAAATATTTTTATTTTATTTTACTTCAAATTTATTTCAAGTAACTAACTATGTATTTAATTGTATTTACTTATTAATTATAGTTAACTATTATAACACTGTTCCAGAGTAATTAGCCTCATGGCCATTACGACTCAGGTAATTGGCTCAAAAATAATTTTATTCAGATTTGAGTGTGCATGAGCAAAGATGGCACAATTCACTTTGCGACTGAATCAACCTGTTTCTCAGACCTCCTTGGTAATGTTATTCAGAAAGTAATATAGTACAGGTATTGCATTTTGAAGATGAATTACAAACAAACTTACATGCACATTGTTCACAAAACACCCAGAAACATGTATTAAGAAAGTACATTTCATGCTTTCAGGCAGAGCATTTAGTGCAACTCAACATTATTTTTCTTGCATTTATAATTTCCTTCATATACTCATCTAGCTTCATGCAACTCCAGTCTCTCAGCAAGCAGACACAGAAAATGTGCAATATGCAGTTCATAAATCTCCCTCTTTCTCCCTCCCTCCCTTAGCGACAGCATTCCCCTCTTATCTTGTCGTCTTTAGCGTCACAGGAGCATAGCGAAGGAGCATCCTTGTGCCCTAAGCTCGAGAGAGAGAGAGAGAGAGAGAGTGTGAGGCAGAGGGAGGGGAGATGCGGCGTCAGTCAGCTGCAGTAGGCAGAGGACAGCGGCAGGATTAGCAGCAGTGGCTGCCGTTTGCTATTGTTCAGCCAGAACGTTCTCCTTTTCGCTCCAGCCAACCATAGGAGCAGAAGCCGAGGAGATCCGCCACATGCGCCGTTCCTTTGGGGAACACTAACTGAAGAGGCACGCAAACTCTTTCAGTCTGTGTGACTGAACTTCTTTCTCTGCTCTCATTGGGGTTTCTTTTCCTCCTGACCGAGTGGATTTTACCCGACTCAGGGGAGCCATGGGACTTGGGGTTAGGGGTGCAAGGACAGCGCCCCTGTGTTTATGGAGGTTATTTTTACTGCTCTGTGGAATCTGGACCACTTGCTCCCAAACGACAGGAGACGGGAAGTCACTGTACTTCTGGGAGACAGGTATACGGCTATTTCCATAAGTACCTTGATGGATGTAAGTGGAATGTGAAGGTTCCAGACTGGCTGTTTGCACAAAGTTGCATTGCAATTGTTTTATTTTCTGGGCTAAGAAAAAGGACAACTAAAGGTCTTCGGTCTAGCTTCAAAACAGCTCTGCGCTTTTGAGTTATTTGTCATCATCCTAATTTCAGATTCTCAAAGTCAGTAAGGTAGAGAAACATGTCCCCATTTCAGCACAGTAGGTTGTCTCCATTTTCCCAGGCTGATTGTTCGATTTCTTGTGCTAGATAACAGCCATATCATTATGAAATCAGACAATATAATGGAAGGAGCTCCGAGGTACAAAGTAATGGAAGTTATTTGACTTTTGATTTGCAAATGTTCTATATCGCATTATAAAATATGATAAATTGTTAGAAATGTAATAAATATATAATAATATATATAAATGTTTGTTATATATTATATTTAATAATTATATTTTGTTTTAATTATAAGAAAATTAAGCCAAATTTTAGGACCATAATATTTTTACATTATGATATTATTTCATGACAGTAACTCACCTCATCTCCAAATTCTCATTACTGTAATGCAAATATATATGCATTAATACAGTACAACAATTCTATAATTTAAATAGTATATAGACTTTTGTAGTGCATTAATCAAAATCAGTGAATTTTATTATAATGCAAGAACAAATAAAAATGTAAAATAATTTTCATTATTGTAATAAAATAATGAAAATCATTCTATTGGGAATGAATGGATAGATAGATAGATAGATAGATAGATAGATATCTGATCACTGAAAGTCTAAATGTGCAGTTTGGACTCTTCTATTGGCCAGAGCGACGTCCTGAGTCAATGTGCATTTGACACTGTGGTAGTGAATTTTTTAAAGCGGATGTTAATGCGTAAGGAGATTAAAGGAGCTGCTGGGATTTATATTTTGAAAACATCCCTGGGTCATGCATGCAAAGAAGCGGAGCGGCAGGCGAACTTAACCTACATCTCTCTCTCTTGTAGATCACAGTAATTACAGATCTTTGGCTCATTTCATTGAAAAACATCTGGTGGAAATGCGGAGAGTCTATCTTGGATGGGCAGATGCATGATAGTGTGCAGTTTGACTGCGATATCGCTCGGGTGTAATAATGTTATTGCGCTTTCTAGAGCGCTCAAGGGGAGAGAAATTTAGTTTTGACGTATGTTGTACTGTATACATAATGAATCTGACCGTAGAAGAGCTCGGGCTTCAACCTGTGGGGAATTGGCTCACATTTCTGCGGTTTATTGGTTTCACAGAAGAGCAATAAATCTGCTGTCTAGGGCTGATATCCTCCCATGATGGAGATGTTCATATAACAGGCCTGGAAACACAAGTGCTGTAGAAGAGAATAAACCAGCGTTCCTTGAAATGATGGCTAAAACCAACAAGCTTTTCGTTAAGTCATTCTTAATGGCTGTATTTTTCATGTTGCAATCGATAGTGCTTGCATACTTGGTGCTTTTATTTCTAATAAGCAGACTGGATTAAATGGCACACTAGTCTCTATACATTTTCTTCCCTGTTTGCTGTCTGAACGTGGGTTTGATGTTCAAATATCCCTGGAGAAGACCAGAGCAATTTTGTCCATATCTCCCTGTGCCGCAGCCTCCAATTAGAAGCACTCTTTCTTTTCTTATTTTATCATTATACAGTCTAGTGTTAACCCTCACCACTCCACATCTCAGCTCTGGCTCCCATGTGTCTCAAACCCAGCTAATATTGACTCAGGAAGGATTCTTAATTAATGAGGGTATTTACAGGCCAAAATTGACTACATGGGTTACTGTAACCTTGACTTGTAATCTTGGTTAAATAGTGAGTAGCATGAAGAGGAATAATGCGTCATTCGATTTGTAGAGAGATTATTTAGAGTCCAGGATGTCAGTTTGTTCTGCACAGGTGGTCTCTAAAGCGATAGAACATGAGAGGCTGTCCATTACAGTGATTTTTTTTCCTCAGGCAAGGAGAGTTTTTAGGCATGAAGCAAAGTGGATAAAACCACTTCACCTGCAGAACTAGCTTACTGGTGTGTGAATTTTTGAAAGTGGCTGATCCGATCAGAATTTAGAGTCAGAACTATATATACAGAGTACACTGTATATATAAATAATATATAAATATAATATAAATAATAATTACACTTAATAAATATAAACACATCCATTTAGCAGTATGTATGTGTGTGTGTGTTTGTCTGTCTGTCTGTATGTATGTATATGTATATATATATATATATATATATAGTAGCTTAAAATTAACACGTGTAGCTTAAAGGGGACCTATTATGCACAATTCATTTTTGC